TCTCGTCGACCGCACACTAATGCCAGGCGATGTGGTACGTCGCCGCCTTCCTGGACAGAAGCATATGTCTGGCCAGGCCGGCTATGTGCGCGATGTTAACGTCCGCGCAGATGTGAAGGTATTAGGCACCAAATATGTCATCAGGAATGTGCCCTCGGAGCGCCTAAAACCCATCTCAGAGTGGTCGCGTGATGTGCCCGTATGTTTAGGAAACTGGATTGGCTATACTGTCACCGTAGATGAGTCTGCTGTATTAAAGTGAGTAATTAGTCTCAGACCGTAGGGCACGTCCTCCATTCAATACTCATTTACTTTCATTTGTAGATCGAGTTATGGCGCTCTTATTGAAATTACATCGAACGATTTTCACAAGTTCAAGGATGCTTATGGACCGAGTGAGCGCGAAGTGTTCAGTCCAAGTGTTTATTATCCAAATAATGTGGTAGTTGGTCGTTTGCCACCCTTGGACCGCATTGTTAATTTAACACCGGACCTTCCCCTGCCAACTAATCGTAAACGACGCTCTATGGTTAGTAGTTGAATATCACTGAAGAAGATTGAAATTGTCTTTATTAGCTATTCACATATTTCGCCTTGGCTTTTTAGTACACTGTGGAATCTGTTAAAACTACTGCTATAACTGTGGCTTGGACATTTAAAGCCACACCTCAATTTGATAGTGGTACTGAATTGGATCCTTTAAAGCAGCCAAAGAGCTGTATAAAGGGCGACGATTTGGCAAAGGTTAAGCGCTTGAACATCTATGAATCTTATATGCTGCAAATTCACGATCGTTTCTACCTCAAATATTCGAAATGTGATAAACTTATAAAATATTCCGTCTGGGAACAGGAGCAAGGTATGCATGATGAGGGCTATTCAATAAGTTTTTCTTATTACAATTGATTTATTTTCCAGCCAAGTTATACCAGACTATATACCAACGCCAAAAGAGTGAAGAAAATAAGCACTCTGGCCAAAAGGAGCAGTCAAAGCAAGGCTCATCTACAGGCATAGACAATGTGCCTTCGCCATCAGCAGCATCCAGCTCTCGCAGTGGTCACATTTTCAAGGTGCGGCGGCTCAATAATAAACCAAGCAATCAACGACTAAATCGCTCGGCTGACAACGATACGAGCAATGTCTCTCTAAAGCTGTGTTCCTCAACGAACTCAAGTGGAAAGAAGACGCGTGCAAACAACGATGAAACTTGGGAAGCTGGGGAAGAAGAGGCTGATGATGAGCCTGTACAGGAAGCTCAGGAGGCCACAGAAACAATTGAGGCTGCAGCTGCAACTCCAGAAGCAGAAGGTGTAACAGCGAGTCCATTGAATTCCTTTGCTTCTCAGGCAGCCCGAATTGTTACTCGAAATTTTAAGCGTAGGTCTAACAAGAAAAAGCCGCGACCCAGTAAAAAATCTGCAATACCAAGAAAGGAAAGCGATCCCAAAGATGGCGATGACATGGTAGTCGAAACTTTGGTTGTGTATAGCTCGCTAACGGTAGTGTGGCAGGACGGATCTGTGGAATCAGGAATTCCTTCAACCGAACTGTATCCTATACATCATTTAGATAATCATGAGTTCTTCCCTGGAGATTTCGTCAGTAAAGCTAATGACTACAATACGTCGCAGATGGACTACGGAGTCATACAGTCCGTGGATCACGATGAACGCATTGCTAAAGTTAAGTGGTTCAATATCTATGGCAATATGGATAATCCAGTGTAAGTATTTGACTGAATTGAGTGTTCAGTAATCAATAAGTACCTTTCACAGGCCATCATGCAAAGATGTGGAGGAGCTTAGTGTATACGATTTGAAAGATCATGCGGACTACCAGTACCGACCTGGCACCATGGTCATAAGAGTATCGAATTTCACAGGAGAGGATTTGAATTCAACAGCTGGACAAGTTATTGATAACTTTCCTGATGGTCGTGTACGGGTGTGGTGGGCCAAGGGACACATTACGATGTGTTATCCACAGGATCTCTTTGAAATCCATCAAAGCGATACTCAGGACGCCTACGAGTCTGATGACTCGGAGAATTCCTGGGAGACACAGTCTGAGAATAGTCAAACAATGAATATGAGTGCTAGCATCGAATCAATGGATGTAGAGGATCACATTATATCGGGAATCGATCGTGCCAAGGAAGCAATTCAGCGTCTTGAAAAAATCTTTCACGTTCTACCAGAGCAGCGCAAGGCCGATGTTCTCAAAGATCTGTTAGCTGTATATAATAACTGTCGGTTCCTAGATCGTTTTCTTAAAACAGATTTCTTTCACGAAGATTACTTTAATGGCATTTTATGCGTAAAGAAAAATGAGCAACCCCCGAAACAACCTGAATCAGCAGTTACATCGAAGAAATCTAAAACGAATACAAGTGATGCACCTCAACCTGCTTTGGACTTAGCCAATCTCACTTTTGAAATGACTATACCGGACATTGCTTCGCCAGTTGTGCGTCAAGCAGTTAAACTGGAGATACCTCCGAGCCCTCAAGTTGCATCGACATCGACTCCAAATAAAAGAAAGTCATCCACTAATGTAGAAGAGGTGCAGTGCAAAAAGACTAACAGCAGCGAAAAAATCAATGTTGAAGATTCCGCAGAACAGTCCGTTTTACTGGACAATATATCATTGTCGGACAGTGAGACGCAGCTTACATACAATGAGCTAATTACTAAGTATCGCAGCGAATATGCAGATATGATTAGGACGGCACGAGTTAGTATAGCAAAGGCTTTCGAGAAGCATAAGAATAGTAAGGTAAGTATTATATCCATGCACTTGTCGTGAATCTCACTACTATATTTTATTTACAGAATGATTCTGGGGTACACTCGCGTGGGGAAAATAGCTCAAGTGAAGTCACAGCTGGTAGCGAACCAAAGGACAATAGCCAAGGTGAAAAGAAACAGTCGATTTTGAGATCATCTTCCAACACCAGCATTGAGTTGGTAGCTAACCATGATGCAGACGTCTGTGAAGTCTTCTGTTTTCTTATCAAAGAGCAAATGGCAAAGTGCCGTGAGGCAATTGTGGAGACATTTGGCAGAAATAAAACCGAAGATAAAGATGCAGATGATCATATATGCGATGTGGATGTAGATGATGATACCGAGATTTCAGATCAAGATATGCCACCARCATTTGATAAGGATCAGGATCAGGATCAGGTTATGGAACAACCATTAAACCTGAATGGACTCTCTGAGTCTTTGCCGCCACTCGAAAGCCCAACTGCTTGTTCATCACCCTCTCCCATGCAGGGTATTATATCTAGCAATAATTGTTTTGAGGTAGTTCCAAACGCACCACTTAGCAATTATTTTATTGGAAATATTATACACCCGAACAACAAGGCGCATTATCAACGTGCCGTTCAGCGAGAGTATGCTATGCTGCAGGCATCGCTACCGCCAGGTGTTGTTGTGCGTGCCTATGAGGATCGCATGGATCTCATATCTGTCATGATGGTCGGTCCCAAACGCACACCTTATCAAAATGCCCTATTTTTCTTTGACTTCCAAATGGGCGCTGACTATCCGAAGACCCCTCCCACCTGTCATTATATAAGCTTTTGCACGGAACGTCTTAATCCTAATCTATACGAGGAGGGCAAAGTGTGCGTCTCGCTGCTGGGAACCTGGTCTGGACGTGATACTGAGGTTTGGTCACCACAAAGCACAATGTTGCAGGTTTTAGTCTCTATACAGGGACTCATACTTGTGGATGAGCCCTATTATAATGAGGCTGGCTATGAGAAGCAACGTGGTATGTTGTCAAGTGAAAAATCGGATTTTGATTTATTTTAATGATATCCATATTTTTCTCTTCAGGTACTCAATTGGGTAATGAAAACTCACGTGTCTACAATGAAATGGCAATAATAAAGATTGTCCACTCCACTGTAAAACAATTGCAAAATCCTCCATTCATATTTCGCAAGGAATTGATTGAGCACTTTAAGGAATTTGGTAACGAGTTATATAGCCGCATGAAGAACTGGTCTGATTATTCGGCAGAAGCTCAGCGATTAAAGATAACTAGCATTAATGGTTGGTTTTGTTTGTTGCATTAAGAATATTTGTAATGGAATCGTATTCTACAGATATGCCGAAGGACTACAAAACACCATGCGAAATGCCCGAATTTCCACTGTTGCCCTGCAGTCGCGGCTTTTGCATTGCTGTCAAGGGAATCTTGGAAACCTTAAAAAGCGAGCTAACTGCGCTTGAAAAAAAGGAAGAACGCGAGACAGCTGTTCCTGCTGTGGCCACAGCACCTCGTGCTGCACCCGAAGATGTGTGATTTAAGCGAATATACGCAATGCTCTATGTTTGTCAGCCTTGCCTTCGTTGTGGTGCCTATTATATTGAAAAACAAGACTATCACCACCTGCTCTTGAAATTGAGCCTCTAGCAGGCCAATTTCTTTTATATTTAAGTAATTACAGCTCGAATACTATCAATCTTATTAACTTGGCTTATTGACCGGCTAACAAACTTTATAACCAAAAAAAGAACATATTTTTCCTAAATTTGTCGCTTATCATTTGTAAAAACTTTTTATTTATTTAGTTCGTAGTCTCTCTTTCGTTTTATGTTCACCCCAAGTTCATGCGTATACAAAAGAAACATATATTGCCTTTAAAATGTGTAACGTCAATAGAGCCTTATTGTTAACATTAATATTTTCTGTACATAGTCTAGTTTTTCCTCAATTTATTGAACTACGAACTTTGTATGTATCTTTTTGAATATTGAGTTCTTATCAAAATATTTGAGCAAATTATTTTTCTTGTTCGCCTCTGATCTTTATTTATATTGTATTTATATAAATTGCGCGGTAGCTTAGTGCACTTAGTCCAAATATGAAGCTCCATCTGGTAGGGAGCCCTAGCATTCCACTATTTATAATGTAGTAAATTAAGCGATTGGTCACAGCGCTTTCTTCAAATTTAATAAGCTAGCAAATGCCAGATATACTATGTGAATAATAAATTACCAATTTTATTTATTAAAGTAAACGATCGACTTAAGGCTCTAATTTTTCCAAAACCCAGTCCACATACTGTCCCACTCGAGTATAGACGCCTGGCCATCCTCGCAGACCGCACGGTTTTGGGCCGTATGAAGTGACCCCGGCCACAAAGAATACTTCTTTCATTCCCACATTGGTAGCTACCATTAGTGGTCCACCGGAGTCACCTTGACAGGTGTCAATATTTACCTTGCCACCAGCGCACAGCTGTGAGCTATTCAGATGCATCTGGTAGCTGCGGTACTTATCTTGACAATTTTTAAGCTTCCACACGTCCACAGTGATCTTAAGCTTCACTTTGCTGGGTTTGCCATCCTCGGTGACACCCCAGCCTGCAACGTTCATCGCATAGTCCTCAAAATTGTTGTTCCGTACATCATCACCCACCGGCAGACAAATGGGCTTCACATACTCCGTAAAGCTGACAAATTGCTTGAGGCGTAGCAGCGCAATGTCGTGCATCTGGTCAATCGAATTCGGGATGTATAGCTCGTGCACGATATACTTTTCAACCTCAATGTCTATGTGCATGGGTGCGCAAGTCCGTTTCTTGTTAGCCAGCTCGATGATACAGTCTGGGGCAGAGCTAATGTTCCACTCGCCCAGACGGACACTGTGCAATTCCCATCCGTACATTTGCAGCTGGTTGCTAGCCACGCAATGGCCGGCGGTCAGTACGTAGCGAGAGTTGATTAATGTGCCGCCGCAGTTGAAGCCCAGCTCATTATTGGCTATCAGTTAAAAAGCGAAACATCGGACTGATGTGAATCTAGATGTGGTTTTATAAATCTCACCCTTTTTATATTGGAGCAGCGCCATCCAGGGGAACTCAAAAAGTTCCGTCTTGATGCCGCCAATAATGCGATTGGCAAACATAATCCCACAAGTTCCAATACTTGGCAAAACATTACCCGGCTCGAGCTCATCTCCCGAAGGATTTATGACAGGTGTTACATTTTCTGTTTCTGCTCCATTTCTGGAGCCTGTGCCTTGCATCCGCCGTTTGCTGTCCGGACAACAGACAAGAATACGCTGCACTAGGCCGCTTTGCCGTGTGTTATCCAAGCCGCATTGGCTATCGGAGAGCAGCTGACGTTGCTCCGGCGTTGTCTGGCTTATGTTGAGTATCTCGTAGAGAAATGGGCAATCTCGTATATGAATGCATAGGCCGCGTTCCTTGCTGCCCTTCGGCTCGCAGCTGCCATAACTAAATTGCGCAGTGGCTGCAGCTATCGGAGATCAGCTCAATGTCAATATGTTAATTAGAATTACAAAACTATTGGGACAACCGGTAAGACCGGTTCCAGTTAAGAGGAGACTAGAGATTGGGGGACAGGATGGCACAGCTCTATTGATATAAGACCAAAAAGCATCAATGACCTTACCAGTAGTGCCAATGCCGCACAATGCACCAAGCAATATCAGCTGTAGCCTTAATGCCGCCATTTACTGACAGATTACGTCCGTGATATTTACGTGTAATAATCGCCGCGAGCTTCACGTCAAGACTAAGTTCGCCTCAGCATTAACGAGCAGTTGATAGCTAGCAGACGGCCGCTGCCCGCTATCTCTCTCAATAAATCGGCCAGATGTCAGAGGTGATCGATTGCAAATGAGCTTGTATAGGTCGGTATAATAAACTTCCCAACGACCCAGCCACCCGGCAACCCACCCATAAAGAGCCCCTAATCCAAAACTTTACAAGTCTGTTTCCATTCTGCGCTTTACTCGGAATTCGTGGCACTTGCAATTGCAGCCAACTTAAAATCAAATGATTAAAGCTAATGCCAGCAAATATATAACTGTGTTGTGGCATTGTTTAACCGGTTATTGTGTTATGATTATACGAGTATGTTTATATGCTTGGATGTGTTTGTGTTTATAACTTTAAGATGCAAACAGAGCTGGAAATGAAACTAAATCTTGTTGCTGTTGTTGGCATAGTTGTAGACCTGCTGGAAACCTTCACCGTCATCGCCCTCGCCATCGTCCGAATCATCAGAATCAAATGTATTATCGGGAATATCGTACAAGCGAATAATCGGCTTGTTTGGATCCTTCATGATCAGATATTTGCCGTCCTTCTGCTTCATCACAAGGTCAATAATGCACCGCAAAATACCCCAGGCGTTGTCCATGCTCAAATTAATCTGCGTGGCAAACTCATGCGGCTTAAACTGCTGGGTGCCGAGGATAACGTGACGCGAATGATCGCGAGGATTAATACGCGATACATAGCCCAGTTTTAGTTGATCGGAGCCGGCGAGCACAGCTTGCACTGTCCATTTGGCCAGCTTGCAGGCATTGTTTCTCAGCTCGTTAGCCAACACAGCGCCGCGTTGCGTATCCAATTTCTGGCGCCACTCAACGCCGTTGGCCAGCTTGGAGTCCCATTCGTTCAGTGCCTTGATGGACAAGAACTGGGGCTCTCCGCTCGGGGTTTGCAGCACTCCATCATGTTCGCAGCGGGCCACAAGAACCTGTTATTAATAGTATTCAAATTAATATACATTATTGGAATAATTAACAGCTGAAGTGCTTACAATGTCGCTTCCGAGTTCCCATTTCTTGTAGCGATAGCCAACACTAGCTACTTGGATGTCCTCATCTTCGCTGATAAACGGATTGGGTTCCTCAAATTTATACTTTGCCTCCTGGTCGCCGGTCTTGAGCACTTGCTGGCTAAAGTTGTGGTTTATAAAGGTTGCCTCGATGGCCAGATTACGCGGCGAATTGCACGAGCTGTCGTCATCAGTAGGCGGTTCAACGCTAGTCTCATTTACGGTTAGCAAATCGAATTCGGTATGGTCACGTTTATCCATGAAAATCTTCTCTCCTGTAGTTCAAAATCTGGTTAGAACAGTTATTTTTGGTATAAGCTAAATATACCTTACCAACTTTTTCAATGACAATATCCCATGAGTAGTTGGAACGCGTTGAGCACATAATGGTAGCCAAAATGGCATCCGTGGCAAAAACATTACCAATCGTTTTTGACAGACGACGTATGACCGGATCATCGGTCGTGGTTACGGTATGCACAATTCTATCAATCTTTTGCAGCGGTTTCTCGTTCTTAACATTGATGCGATCGTACGTCTTATCATAGTACTCGAGGGTGCCACAAGTTGTAATATCTTCACCTTCCTTAATGTTCGGCAAAGAAAGCTTCATAAGACGCGGGAAGTCCATCTCCTCAATGGAGGCCCAGTCGGCACGTACAGCTACAGAAGATTCGCGCATCTTGGGTGGGGGACCACGATTGCCAAATCGCTTGCCCACACCGCGACGAGGATCACGCGCTTTCACATTCTTGCTGTTCAGTGTGGTCATGCCATGACCATGCGTATTGAGACCGCCGCGAGCATTGCGGCCACGTCCAGACCGTGAATTGCGCATATTGCGGAAGCGTCCGCGTTGATGAGGTGGCTTCTGAACTCGGGCCGTATCCACTAGGTGGAAAGTTGTTTCGTCCTCCTCATGATAATAGGCATATTGATTGCCGGTGCCAAAGGTAGAAGCATATTTGTCTGCAAAAAAAATGATTAGTCTCGTATTTGATGCCACGACACACACACAAACAAAGCGAAGGCGTTTGAACATAACCTCACTTTGCGCATATGCAAAATACAAATTTGGATGAAACATACTCTGATACTTCTTGTCATTATTGGAGGTGCTTGTCCAATCGCAGATCTTGCCCAGGCGATCGTTCTTGCTGAATGGCTGGTACGGGACGTCCTTAAACGTGTCCGGCAGCTCGCATGGTCCCCAGCCCTTTTCATTAAACTGCACGGTCGGTTTCTCGAAGCTCGGAAACTGAGCCGCGGTATTAATAGTTTCGCTCATTTCTCTTGTTACTCGTGGACCTCTTTTCACTTATTTTATGCGATTGTAAACCCGCAAGAATTATGAAGCCAGTGTGGAAAAGAAAACTGTGTGACGGGCTCGCGAAATTGATGCGAAGGAGAGAGCGACAGTCACCGCGATTACTCTTAGAGATGTGCGGCACTCACGAACCAGTAACGACTACTGATTATTCTTACAGTAACGATTACGTGAGTCTTAGGGTAGCATTAATCATTTATCGGATATATTTTATTTAACGGAAAATATTACATTTAAACGATAAAAGTGAAAATTAGAATTCGTTATATGACTGAACACATTGATATTACTAATCTAAATTTCATACAGAGAAACACTTCCACTGCATTCAGTTTGACGGACGTGCTTACGCTTACATATGTGTGTATTTGCGAATGTGTTTCAGGTATACATATAGCCATGAAACTTATAATGAAGCAGCAGAGTTCAGGGGGTCTCCCAGTTATGGTCTGCCGAGAGCTAATTACTTGTTTCCAATTGCAAATGTATGCAGTTTGAATATTATTACGCGGATTTACAAACTCTCTTGTATTGTGGAAGTATTGAATGATAGCCTACATATAAATTAAATAGATGGCAAGGGTGCACTGTTGGGAGCTTAAAATTACACACGAAGGAAGCATATTGGGTTTGTACAATCTCCGCGTGACTTACAATCCTCCTGTCCTTTTCATTCGGCGGCCTGTATAAATGCAGGGAATTTTTATCTGGAATGTCGAATGGGAAGGGTGCTAATTCTGATAGATTTATTTACATATACATTAGGTATTCTGAGTCGTAAATCAGAATGATATACTGCTCTTACGGTGTGAACTAGTATTATGGAATCGGTTTTGCTGGACTGCAACTGTTTTTCATTCCGGCTAATAGCTAATATTGTATTTATGACTGCTAGCAACACTAGCTCGGAGGTTCAATGTGTAAGAAAGCTTTAATGTTTAGCGCTTGCTTTGTTGTTTGTTTGCGCTTATTAACTTGGCTATCGAGATGTTCGATTTGCATTGGCTACGTTTATATGCAAGTCAGCCCTTAAACATGCTGACAATTCATTTCTGTGGCGCGCTTATAAAAGCATCCAGGACAAATGGCCAATTCAACAGTTACTTTCAAAATGTGGGTGAAACAGTCCGTGAATAATTTTCCCAATTCCGAGCAGTTGGCTAGCTTTTGGTTGCATTTGCTAACTGAGCTTCGATTCGGCACAGTTTTGTACTACAAGGCCGCGGAGTGTGAGTGCGGGATTGAAAAATTACTGAGTGGAAGCAACGTAACCGCAGCCACTTTGGTATGGAGCGATCTGTACTATAGGCCCTATTTAAAGGAAAAACAGAATGTCAACATTCTGGGCTTGGTGTGCCTGGCCGCCAACTCGTATAACACCGTGTTGAACGCGCTGAGCGTGATGCTGAACCACATGAGGGAGGTGCCACTGCTACTACAGCTTTGCGACAAGGATTCGAGTGGAGTCGAACTGCAGCTGCAGCTGAGCCGAGATATTCTTAAGAAATGTCAGGATTTGCTTATTCCGAACGCACTGCTTCTGTTCAGTGATTTCTTTAAGACAGGCACTTTTTACGGATATCGGATCTTTCCCACATTCGGATTACTATCGCAGGTCTACAATGCCACCTCGCTCCTCTATCCCTATAAGCTGGCCAATCTACAGGGGCAGATTTTAAGGACGCAGCCCGATCTATCGCAGCCGTATGTAGTTATGTACAAGGATCGCAATGGGAATACCGTAACTAGTGGTATGCTCTGGCGTATATTGAGCCTGTTTGCAAAAAAATTAAATGCCACATTGGAGCTGAGCTTGGATCCCACTTCGAGCCAAGTCAACTCCATAAAGAGCGGCTATTTCAAACTTCTGGAGCAAGCGCAAAACAACGAAATCGACGTCACCATCAGCATCTATCCGATGACTATGTCGTCGAGAAGCAACATTCCAATGTTGAGCACTCCCGTTGCCGTCAGAGGCTTATGCACGATGCTGCCAGTTGAGCGTATGGTGAGTTCCCGTGCGGCCATCCGTGGAGTGCTGGAGTCGCCCTGGATGTGGGTCTACATAGCCATAATCTACTATTTGACACGATGGATACGCAAACGTCAATTGCTGGGCAGAGCCCTCCTGATCTTAATCCCTTCACTAATTCAGCTCACGCTGCTCTGCACAGTGGTAGCACAGCTTTCGGCGCTCTTTATTCATCCCCAACGACTTCAATTCATCTCAAATTTGGACCAATTGCAGGCAGCTGGATTACGGATAGTCGGATTGCATTCCAACTTCAATCAGTATCCCGAGGAGATGCGAATCAAGTACGCATCGACCTTTATATCATACGAAAACATGACCAAATTTGTCTTGCTGCGGAATAGTCTGAATACCTCATATGGTTACACGGTCTACGGCCTCAAGTGGCATTTCTATGCGGAACTGCAGAGCTACTTCAAGCGACCCTTATTTCGGTACTCCACAGATATTTGTATCTTTCGACAATCACTTAACTCGTTATTGTTTCGCGAAAACTTTTTGCATCGCCATCAACTAAATTTGTATATTGTTCGTTTGCGTCAAAGCGGAATTCTGAACTTTTACATGAGGCACAATTTTTACGATTTACTGCACGCGGGCCACCACAAACTCGAGGACCTGAGTCCACAGAACGAAATAGCACCACTGAAGTACGCTGACATAGATTTTGTACTGTTGCTATATGGCTACGCAATGGCCGCATCAATACTGATATTTGTCTTTGAGTTGCTTTCGTACTATATCAATGTTTGCCTGAACACATTGTAGAAGTTTCAGCCGAAGCAAATAATTAACGTAGTATTTCTATTCTGAATGCTGGTTGCTTAAATACTCTTCTGCACCTTTGTCTAAATGTTTATATGTAGCTGCAAAGATATAAAATATATGTAGCCTTTAAAATAATAAAAGTAAATTTACAAAAATAAAAAATGTTTTGTAAGATTTGAAAAGAGAGTACGAATATCATTATATCCAATCACTAAATTTATTTTAAAGCAAACCTATTGCCATTAATAAGACTCCCAAATTTCAAGTATATAAATATTATATACTTATATACATATGTGCTTCTAATAATAATTGCTAGGTAATACGCTCAGTCAGTTGCATTGAGGCCTTAGCCATGAATGATAGTCTTAAAGTCTACGCTGAGCTGCTCTCCGCCATTGTCCGCTTCAACAGCATTACAACAATTGTATATTATGATCCCGAGAATGGAAGTGAGGAGTGTCAATTGGTTAAGCTGTTATCATGGGTGGGCAAGAGCATTCCTCTGCTCTTGTGGCGGTCAGTGGATGCTGTAAAGCTGAGCAGCTTGGTCAATGCACAGCTGGTGTTCGTGGCGTGCTTGCCTGGACTCTTTCGCCTCGATTTGCTGAAGACAATTGCAACAAGCTTGCAGTATATACGGGAGACCAAACTGCTCATAGAACTGGCCAGCGATCCGGATTTGGCCCTGGTCAACCGAGTGTTGCAATATTGTCTGCAAAGTCAGATGCTCAACGTTGCCATCACTTTTCGAGACTTTGGACAGACCCAGACGTTGTACGTGTACGATGCGTATCCCGAATTCATGCTGAAGAGTCAAACATTTTCGGATCAGCAAAATATATTTCCGGACAAAACAACTGATCTGATGGGCTATCGGATTCGCACGATGCCCGATCTCTCAGAGCCAAACACGATCCTCTATCGGGATAAGGCTGGGAATATTCGGCTGCTAGGCTACGTCTGGAATATGGTATCAGAGTTCTCGCGCAAACACAACGCCAGCTTGCAGCTGATCAACGAGGGGAAGGAGCTGAAGTACTTGACCCACATCCAAGTATTGGACCTGGCGCGCGACAACATCGTGGATATAGCGGCAAGCGTGCAGCCACTGACACTGCGACACTTGGACCGCTATCATCAGTACGCATATCCAGGAAACATCGCCAGCTGGTGTACCATGCTGCCCAAGGAGCCTTTCATCGAGCTGCGAGAAGCATACCTATGGATGATGCCAGCGATTACCTTCTGCTTGCTGGCAGTGCTTTGGCTACTACACGAACAGCTGAGGTGTCGTTGGCAACGCTATAGACGTCAACTTTGCATTGGCTGGAAGGTGCTGGCCATAATGTTGATATGCAATGTGCAGGGCAGGCTGCTGATGGTCTTTATTGCACCGCCCACTAAGACATCTATTACCAGCTTTGATGCACTGTCCAATTCCAAGCTGCGCCTCTTCGGCATCAGATCGGAACACAATTTGTATGACTTTGATACGCGCACGAGATACTCGCAGGTGTTCTACCTCAGCAACAAGATGTCGGACCTGCAATGGCACCGGAATTCCCTGAACACATCGTACGCCTACACCGTAACCTACACCAAGTGGCAGCTATACGCGGAGCAGCAGGCGTTCAGCCGCCGCCCGTTGTTTTACTACTCGGAGAAGTTTTGTTTCTATCAATATGTGCCCTTCGGCTTGGTCATTCCGGAGAACTCGCCGCATCGCGCCACGCTTCATAATTTCATCTTGCAGTTGAGTGAATCGGGTCTGCATAACTATTGGGTGACCAAGAGCTTCTACTACATGGTGCAGGCGGGGAAACTGAAAATTCAGGAATTTGGCGAAGTGCGTAGTTTTCATTCGTTGTTTATCCAGGACTTATACGACGTGCTGCTAGCTTATCTACTCGGTACCATAATTAGCCTCATACTCTTCGGCAGCGAGCTAGCTATATATCATGCAACATATTGGCTAAACAATTAAAGAGTTAAGGGTGAAAGCATAATTAAATACCTATGTGAGCTTTGTCAGTAATAGTTTATTTGAGTTCCGTATATGAAAATATATATTAATAGTCAAAAAAAATCGATGACTGGTTTTAATGGTATTTTTATAAAGCTAAACAAGTTAGGGGAAACACAGAACTTGCAGTATAATTAATTTTTCTAATTATAAACTTAGGCTTTATTTTAATTAACATAGCTCTGTGGGAAGAATAATCTTACTATTTATTCATTATCAGTTATAGGAAAATTAATTAGAATATTTATTTCAAATAAATAAATAAAATAATAGATGAACTTACGGGGCAAAAACCAAATGAAGCTGCAAAAGTTATTACAAAACTATTGAAATTTTTCGATAATGTACCAATAATTAAAGTCTTTTTAAATTGACATGAACAATTGTCAAATTTTTATATAAAGTTAAATACGAACGTAGGAATTTAAAAACATAACGTAAAACTGTTAACTTTACAGACGTCAAAAATACTTTATCATTCTGTAGTTTGGTAACTGGAAGTCTGTTAAGTCGGAGCTATGTTAACGAACTTAAAGCGGAACAAAAAATAGTTGCTCAAGTAAATGAAACAACGGAATTTGTTCGCTTGAGCTACTTAACGTGTATATATTTTCCAATTAATTAATTGTACTTTACACTGTTTTCCACATATTTGTTCCTTTAATTCGCAGGTTTTATTTTGTACCATTAAGTTTCTAAAATAACATAGAAGTATTTGATTTCATTTTTCAATATAGTTTAGTATCCCTGGTATCTGATCAGCGTACCATCCCTTTGCCTACCTGTGGCATTTGTTTTTGTTGACATGGTCAAAAGAAAGTTGTTGGGCAAAGGGCCAATGGCCTGAAAACATGGTCAAAGGTGAGACGGTCTTATAATTTTTTAGCTAGCTCAAATATATTTATTGAAATAATTTCAGTCCAATTGGCTTGACCAGTGCAATGAATATTCGAGCTTGTTTGGCCACGGCCAATGTCTTTGTTGGATGTTGCTGTGCTGTTGTATTTCTGGAATTGATCGTCAAATTGGACCCGGGTGCAGGTAATTTGATTACCGCTGGTCAGTTTGCATTTATTGCCTTGGAGGGATTCGTCTTCACCTCCAAATTCGGCACAGTGAAACGTGTGATAAGTCTGCGGGATTATGGTCTGCTTGTTGTTATGTTCTTTATGACAAGTGTGTGCAATAACTATGTGTTCCATCTGAATGTGCCCATGACGCTGCACATGATCATACGTGGAGGCAGTCTCATATCGAACATGTGCCTTGGCACTGTAATCCTCAAACGTCAGTATCGGCTTGAACAGTATATAGCAGTCATCATGATTACCGTGGGCATTTTCATCTGCACGTATTTCTCTAGCCAGGATGTGGGAGTGAATAAACGGCATGGCGATGGTAACGCTGAAGCAAACATATTTTGGTGGCTCGTTGGTGTCCTGCTCCTGGTGCTGGCGCTATTCATCTCCTCGTACATGGGTATCACACAGGAGCTGCTGTATCGCAAACATGGCAAGTGCGCTCGCGAGGCACTCTTCTACACACACCTGTTGCCTCTGCCCGCGTTCTTCTTCATGCATGACAACATCAAAGCGCATTGGACTGTGGCGATGGAAAGTGAAACCTATCGATTCGAATGGCTGGGTGGTGTAGTTGTGCCTCTTTTGCTCCTCTATTTGATTGGGAATATTCTGATGCAGCATCTGTGCATTAGCTCTGTGTATTTCCTGACCACTGAGTGCAGCTCCCTGACCGTCACCTTGATTCTGACATTGCGCAAATTCATATCGCTAGTCTTCTCGATTATCTACTTTCGTAATCCGTTTACAATCTATCACTGGCTGGGCACCGTGCTCGTCTTTGTGGGCACTCTGATATTTGCTAATGTCCTAAGTCTTCCAGTTGGTCGTTGGAGAAGAAATGCTGTGAAAAATGATTAAGCATTCCAACACATTCTCGAACTGTTTACGAGTTTAAACATTTAATGATTATTTCATTTACATTTAAGTACAATATAAGAATATTCGCAATAAAAGTACCAGATTCTCCTAGCTCTTAGCAAAAAGGACTTTAAAAGTAAACATAAACTTTACAATGGATTTCTTTATATTTTGTATAAACAAGTGGTTCTGTTGTTTCTTTGGCTTTGACTTGTCCTGTGACGATACTCGATATAAATACTAAGGCATACACATAAAATATAAATACATAAATGCACTGGTTGCCCGATGCTAAAAATTGTGAATTCCAATTCCGTTAGAAAATGTAATACTGCTGCAGATCACCCGCTGTCTGGGATGTGATCCGTGACCTTCTGCCTACGTGGGTTGTGTTCCGGCCTCACGTTGCAGCCATTTGACAATCGCGTTGTAGTTGCGGTTCATCCACTCGACACTTATGTCGACTTGTTCCAAAATCTGTTGAATCGGTCTGTCATACGCCCAGCGCGCATCCCGGACAAAGTCTTCCAGCTCGGCCAGTTGGAACTTCGAGTTCATGCGCTTGCTGGCAAACTTAAGCAGCGTGTGAATGTTGGATATCTGTGAGCCCATGCTGGAATTAAATAGGAATTATATAAGGCTTTGCTAGAGGATTTCTGTAGATCAGCTTACTAAGTATTTATCTCCTGCCAATTGTTGCGCAAATAATCAAACGCAATCTGCTGACCCACCACTGTGGTGGAGACGGCGGCAAAGACACGGAAGACATCCTGCTTGCGTATGTGCTGGCCGGCAATGGAGCGTCGCAGGTATCTGTAGAGCAGCCACGGCTCCTTGGAGCAGCCCAACGCGCTCAGCAGCAACTCCTTCTCCGCCGGCACATTCGTCTTCACATAGCGCTCGAATGCAAAGTCCCACTCGTGCTCCGTGCCGTACTGGATGGCCGCGCAGTAAACGATGCCACGCATATTTGGATTGATTCTGTGGATATAACCAAAATTTACATTCAATTAAATATTCATATGTCATCGATTTCGGTCGATCGAACGTACGGGTTATAGGTATCGGGATTGGGTGCTTGTACCCAGTTTTGGAATTGTTTGGTGCTATCCGAGATGCATTGCTGTTGGCCCAGGTGACAGGCCATGCTCAATATTTCGAAGCGCTTCAACAGCAGCGGAATGTTTTCGTTGTCGCTTGGCGTATCCTTGTCCACCACCTCGTTGTACACCCTGCTCAGCAGTTTCAATAGGTAGTTCTGGAAAGGTAATCAAGGTGAGTTCCATATGCTTCGACACTGTCAGCGATTAGTGTGCATACCTTAAGCAAATCGTAATCACCCGAGTTAATAAACATGGAATCGATAAAGTTAAAGTTAGTAATCGCTGCCTTCCAGGCCACGCGGTTCGTCTCGTATGCCAGATAGCGTGTTAGATTCAAGGCCGTATCATAGGACAGATAGGAGCCGCGGGCCAAATTCATGACGTCATCGATTAGTTGGGCCCGATTGGCGGGCGCGATTTGATCGTGCTGCTTCGCGTCCATCAGATGCTCAGTTATTGCACGCCAGTTGTCCAAGTCGTAGTTGACCCGGTAAAAGCCCGTTTGCTGTATATTGAATATAAACCATTTGGCCGTGGAGAGGTTACGATTTTCCAGCTCATAGGTTTTTGTGCGCGGTATCCACGTTGTGGGCCGAGTATTATCAAAATTAAGCTCGTCCGCGGTCGTAAAGGTGATGGGTATCCACCAAAGAGGATGGCCTTCCGCATGGCTGCTGTTGCCGTAGACGAAACGCTCCTGGTCCAGGCGTACAGCATCCGAATTGGGGTGCCGCGAGATCTTGACCATTGGATAGCCAGCTTGCAGCGTCCAAGTATCCATGATGGCCTTCACACTTGTGCTGCTATCCAGCAGACCTGATGTTTTCGCTTCGTCGGTGAGGAAGCGCCACAGATCGTCCTGGGTGGCGGATTTGTATGCCATCTCACTTAAATACTTGCTCAGTCCTCGCCTGAAAACCGTATCAGTGAGGAAATGGCTCATCATGCGGATCACAGTGGAGCCTTTGGCATATGAAATCCGATCGAACAGCTCGAAAATCTCCTGCGGATTGCCGACCTCCTGCGAGATCTTATGCGTGGTGGTGAGCGCATCCAATTGGAATACAGTCTGCATTTCGTTAACCACAAACTCATCGAGCAGCTTCCATTCGGGCGCCACGGCATTCGCTGTCAGATACTCCATGTAGCTGGCGAAGCCTTCGTTCAGCCAAATATCCGACCACCAACTGGGCGTGACCAGATTACCGAACCACTGATGGGCCAACTCGTGCCCGACCACAGAGGCAATGTGCTGCTTGTTGCTGGCGGTGGCCACGCCCTTGTCGTACAGCATGGCCGTCTCCCGGAATGTGATGAGGCCCCAGTTCTCCATGGCACCAGCCTGAAATTCCGGCAGCGCTATCATATCGATCTTCGGCAACGGAAATGGGATGCCGAAAAAGTTCTGCAGAAAGTCCAAAATCTTCGGGCCCACGCTCAGCGCATACTCGGCTGATTTGATGGCATCGGCTCGAGCCCAGACCGAAAAGTTGCCAGAAGAGATGTGCTTAAAGTCGGTGATGGCGAAGGCCACCAGGTAGGTGGACATGGGCAGCGATTCGGCAAAGTGATCCCAGACATAATTGGCCAACGATTCGCTATGTGAGTTGTAAATTGGTTTCATTAATTAACATTATTTTGTAAATCATTCTTCTTACTGATTGTGGCTGTAGATAATAGGCATGTTGGAGATGGTGGTCAGGTGTCGAGGGCGCGCTATGTGCAGCGTAAAGTTCGCCTTGAGCGCCGGCTCATCGAAGCAGGGAAAGGCGCGTCGTGCGTCCGTTGCCTGGAATTGTGTTGAGGCCAGCCATCTGAGAAAGTCAAAAGGACAACAATAATGTTTATTATAAATAAAATATGTTTTTGTTAGATTAATAACCTTTTCGTAAAGTTTAACGAAACTATGTCTAAGAAATAAATCTATTTGCGCCGGAGTTCTATAAGAACGAGTTGTGGGGCCTATTTTCTACAACATTTACACTTCAGAATTTTATAGAATTACATTAATCTTTGCTAACGATACATCGCTCAATTCATCTAGTACACAGTTTTCAGAAATTCTCTCTGATTCTCTCTAAACTCTACTGTACTGTATGGCCGCTTATGAGTATTTCTTTAATTAGAAAATTCAGCAAAACTATTATGATACGAAGCTCACCTGGTCTCATTGAGCACCTTATAGGAGCTGCGGTAGAAGCCCTGCAAGTAGTCCTTTATAATGCCGGTGTAGCGAATGTGCACCACGTATTCCTTGCCGCGCCGTAGTTTGTCGTACAGCTGGATGATGAAGAACTGCTTGGCCCCCACCAGATACTGCTTGTGGATGCGCAGGCTGTTCTCATCCCATTCGTCCTTGCCGCCAGGCAGTGCCCGATAGACGGCCACATCGTTGCGTGTGATGTTCAAGTCCTCGACGTGCATGGTTATGTTGTAGCAATCCTCGAGCACTCGCACGCGTATCTGAACGCTGCCCGCGAAGCTGAAGTTGCCGCTCATCTCGGGCTCCAGTGTGATGTTGTACTTGAGGGGCTGGATGGAGGTCGGCAGGCGAACATCCTGATCGTATTTGGGCCCCTCACTGGCACCTTTCGAATGCTTCGAATTACGCAAATGGACGCTGGTGCAGACAATGTTCTCGCCTGGCGCCGCCTCCAGATGTCCGCAAGTCGCGAAATTGTAGACAATGAAGCCAACGGCGAGCAGTGTGCAAACGAAGAAGGACGCCAGCAGCACCGCCGTCGTCAGGGATACGCTATAGCGGCGTCCCATGCCTGAGAATGTGGTTGTGGCTGCTGGCGCGTTGCTGCTGGCCGGCATGGCATGGGCATTGCCGTGTCGGCTCTCCAGGCTGAGATTCTCGTGCAGGGGCATTTCCTTGACGACCATGTCGATGCTTGAACTTTAACCTGTGCAGAGGAAGATGCCATTGATTAGTTGTAAGTGTGTGGATGGTGTGGACTACACCACTTCCGCTTCCACTTCCGTCACAATTTGCAACGCCTAAACGAAAGCTTGTGTTGTTGTGGTTGTGTAATTCATGTTGTAACTCAATATGCATCTGCAGGTTGCAGGTTGCAGGTTGCAGTTGCACGTTATTTATCAATCCCAGCAACGACCACTTCAGTGGTTTCCTTCAACCCTCGCGACGCGGGCTGATCAAATCGTGCATGCATGCACACGTTCCTTGCGGTCAAGATAAAGGGTTGTAAATGATATTTAATGCTAATATGTGTGCATAATTAAATAATTTAGCCCTTCAAAAAAGTTCTAGTTGAGTAAGTTTCTCGAATTTCTCTCCCCACATATTGCATTTAGAGGGGAAATTTTTCAGCATGAGCACGAGTTTACAATATAAAAACCCATAACCGGAAAAATTTCATAGCAATGAAATTAATGTCTGAGTCAATACGTTACTTCCACTTGAGCTATGCAAAATAATTTCTTATAAGCGTTCCCTCCAACTATTTCTTTTAAGCATTTCCTCTAAGTATTTCTTCAAAGTATTTCTTCAAAGTAATTCCTCTAAGTTTTTCTTTTTCTTTTCATCCAAGTCTTTCCTGTAAGTATTTCTTCCAAGTATTTCTTCTAAGTGTTTCTTCAAAGTATTTCCTCCAAGCATTTCGTCTAAGCTTTTAATGCTTGGCCTAACGATCACACAATTCACCCCAACCGGACCTGGGCAACTGAAGACATGCTGCAGCTGTTGCCCTTTATATAGGGCAACTTTCACTCAAATCCTGGGTCGCGCTCAAAACATTGATGCGAGCCTTAAGTGACCAATGGGAACACAGCAGCAGAGGCTGCTCTAAGCACTCTAGCTTCGTTTTACTTCAATATAAATACGAAATGCCTACTGCCGTATACATATAGACCAATAAATGATCTATAGTTCTTCTTCGTTCCAGAGAGACAAACCTAGAGAGAGACTGTGGGCAACATACAAACACGATATAGGCAAGAAATTACGAATAGTTAAGTCGGGATACCTTAAGAATATATGTGCTTGAAATGGC